CCGGTACAGTGGAATTCCGAGTTGGAAGACTGTATCGAGTGAAGCTGGGTGAATGACATGTTCTTGCTGATGCTTACGAGGCATCATACTCTTCACATCGGGGATCTTGATCTCTGCGACACCTCCACGAGAGCCGATCTGCGCCAACTCTATACCAGCAAAGGTAGGACCATAGACATTGCCGTTCTCAGTGAAGTTCTTGTAAAGGTCTTCACCGCTAATCTTAGTGTCGCAAGCGTCAATGATATCCTGGAGGTGTTGGAGGCCACTCGAATTTGCCTTGTTCTCTTCACGAGATCCCTCGACTTCATCCTCCTTAGCCGCCCACTCGAGCATAATATGTCCCGAGCAGTGCTCGTGCCATACATCTTCAGGCGAAAGAGCCATGATGCGGAATGTCTCCCATGTACGGTCGGTCAAACTTTTGGCAGGTCTCAACGTCAGAAGGACCTCTACATCAGACGTCAGTCCGTCGGTGCGTCGTTCGGGGATCATGATTGACTTTGTGAAGGAGACATTTTTCAGATGGATCCGAGAGATGACACCCTGTGTCTTTCTGTCGACGCTGATCTGGCGCACTGCCTCCACGGCCATAGAGAGATATCCGGACGCTGGGAAAATGGCGAAGCCATCAACAACATGGTCGCTAAGCCACGGAAGACTTCCTACACCTAGAAGGTTGCGCCAAGTGGGTTCATGATGCGTAGTTCCCGGGACCCGGAGGCCGAGAAGATCGTGAGGCGGGTGCGCGCGGAAGCGGTGCTCCTTGCTGAGCTTTGATTCGTAGAGAAAGCTCGTGGAGTGATCCCAAGGATAAGGAGCAAGATCATCAATCAACTTGAACGTAGCCGATTGACTTCCTCCTAGGGTTGCTTGTAGCGACACCGGATACCCAAATTCGAACAGCTTTCCTACTGTTTCGAGGAGGGTGATCGCAGCATCACGACCTCGAGACAGCGTGGACAAGTAGCTTGACTTGAAGCCAGTCAGCCCCTTGATGGTCTGCCTGACTGGGCCCGCTAAGGCACCGTGTGGGCCAACTTCGGTGAACAGGGTGAGCGGTGCCGGCTCGATGCCTACGAGCTCTGTGCGACACAGGAGCTCCAAGGCGTTGCCGAAGCGGACTGGGGACACTAGGTTGTCAACCCAGTACTGTGCACCGAATCCAGTTGTTTTATGTGCGACGGCAACAGAAGAGTAGAATTTGATGTCAGGGTTTGGAGTGCGGGCCTCGACGTGTGCGATGGAGTCGAGATACTTTGTTGCGACCTTCTTCATGTGATGAGAGTGGTAGGCCGTGTCCACCTTCAACTTCCGGTTAAAGATGGATTTTTCGTCAAGGATTTGCTTGAGTTCGTCGATAGCTGTTTCGTCTCCAGAAATGGTTGTGCTGACGGGAGAGTTGACACATGCAACGCAGATGAGCCCGGTTCTGGTCTGCTCGACATATTTCTTGACGTCGTCTTCTCCCAAACCCACGGCCATCATAGCTCCTCTGCTCGAAATCACACGGGCACATGCCTGTGACATGAAGCCGCGCCTATATGATATCTCGAGCGCTGTTTCGTGGTCTAACGCCTCGGCAGCATAGCCAGCGGCTATCTCGCCACTGCTGTGACCTAGAACAAGATTGGGAAAGACGTGGTAGCTCTTGAGTAGGTCAACCAATGCGATCTGAACCGCTGTAGTAGAGGGTTGAGAAATCTCAGCCTGCCCAACCCGTGAGTTGTCTTCGTCTCTGGAAAGCTCTTCAATCAGACTCCAGTCTGCCCCAAGATCCTTCAGGATCTTTTCTGACTGGAGCATCGATGCTCTAAATACCGGATGCTCTCTGGTAAGCTCGCGGCCCATGGCATGCCACTGAGCTCCCTGACCCGTGAAAAGAAACACGGAGCGGAAGTTGGACGCAGCCTTGGTGATGCGCGGTTTCTGTCCTAGAAGGCTTATGAGCTCTTCATGGCTGGCCGCTGCGACGCTGAATCGAAACTGCAGCTCTGATCGACGGCTCGACAGAGTATATGCAAGGTTGGAAAGTGAGGGGGTATCGCTGTGAGAAGAGATCCATCCTTGCAAATTGGCTACCATAGCCTGCAAAGATGTCTCCGATCGAGCTGACAAGACGAAGAGCTTTGGGGTGGGTAAGCCGTCGATCACCTTTACATTGTCTTTCATCTTTCCGTTGAAGTCATTGAGTCCGTTGGTCCCATTGGTGTCATGGGCAGGAGAAGAGACTTCGTGCACTTCTGGGTGTCCGTTGGTGCGACTTCCTTCGGTGAAAAACCCATTAGTATGTCCGTTTGTGTGTCCGTTGGCCTGTCCATTGATATGCCCGCTGGTTTGCCCATTAGTACCATTTGACTTCGCTGGAGCCGGGACTCCGTCAGGTTTCTCGTAGCTGGTTGGAGCTTCCAAGATAACGTGGGCATTGGTTCCACCGTAGCCAAAAGAGTTAACAGACACTCGATGGGGGCCAGTAGACTCAGGGAGTGGAACCATTTCAGTAGCAATCTTGATGTCATGGTCAACAACAGTCCCAATGGGCAGGAAGGATGTTTCATACCTTGATCTTACGCTCCTCTAGATGCAGCGTGGGCTTCGGCTTGATGAAGTCAATGTTGGGTGGGATCGCCCCGTGCTTCAAGATGAGAATGGCCTTGAGCAATCCTGCGACACCACTTGAAGCTTCGAGATGGCCAATATTTGACTTGATGGAGCCAACATATAGACCGTCCTCTCGTTTACCTTCGGGGCAGAAGACTTCCGCAATAGATGATATCTCTGCGCTATCACCTGCTCCGTCGTTAGGGTCCGCTTTCGATCGATAATGGAAAACAGAAGAAAGCAAAAGTACAACGAAGGAGGCAGAGTGAAAATCACATACCAGCTTGAGTTCCAGTGCCGTGGGCCTCAACATATACAGTATCTGCCGGGTCCAGACCGGCATTCTTGTATACGAGGCGCATAAGATTCGCTTGAGCGATAGGATTTGGCAGCGTGAGGCCTACTGTCTTGCCGTCCTGGTTCAGACCAGAGTTCCGGACGAGAGCATGGACCCTGTCACCGTCTCTCATAGCATCGTCAAGACGCTTAAGGATTAGAGTGACAACACCTTCTCCTCTTGCGTAACCAGCGCCGCGGCTATCAAAGACGTAGCATTTGCCATCCGGATTGGTCATGCTGTTACCCCTTCTTCAGCTCATATTCAAGATTCAAGTCACAAACGTATTGGTAGGGGTCAAGACATACCCGACACTGCTCATGGGAATAATCTGATCAGGGGAGAGGACAAGTTGGGTACCGGCGACAATAGCCATCTTAGACTCTCCTGCTCGGAGCCCATGACATGCCTGATGCAAGGCTACCATGCTTCCTGAGCACCCAGTGTCGACCGTGCTAGACGGCCCGTTAAGATCAAAGACGTAGGATATTCTGTTTGACAGAATTGCGATTCCTGTGCCGATCATGTGGGCCTTTGGCGTCCTTGCTGTGTCTTTGTAGCCCATGCGTTCGAAGCTAGATTCATATGTTAGACCGAATGTACCTTCAGCCTGAGCCGACATATTTCCTAAGAGACATTCTCGCGCTAGGATGAGATGGGAACTTACTCGGTGGCATAAGCTCCTACATGTACAGAGGTATCAGAGCCCTTGATACCAGCGATGGTTTGCCCAGCGTTTTCGAGAGCCTCGTATGTTGTCTCCAATAAGATGCGCTGCTGTGGATCAAGGCAGTGGGCTTCATGAGGGTGGACGTTGAAGAAGCGTGCATCAAAAGCAGTGATGTCTTGGTCCAAGAAGTAAAGGCCCTTGAAATTGACGGCCTCTTTTGCCTCAGGGTCTGGATGATAGAACGCATCTTTGTTCCATCTATCTTCGGGGATCTCACGCCAGCCACTTCGTCCCTCTGAAAGCATATTCCAGAGTTTGGAAGGGTTATCCGAGCCTCCAGGGAGACGGCATGCCATGCCAACGATGGCAATGGGACTAGGCGTTGGCTCAACCATGTTTGCAAGTGAAAAGAGAACAGCCTCGAGGGGTAATGGGTGTGGTTTGACAAAATTTGAGACGGCTAGAGATGGCAGCAAGCCAAAGTTCGAACGGTCCCTCGATTGATTTGGGCTTCAGACTATGATACACTCCAGAGATTTGCGTATGGGGTAACTCTTATTTAACACGAAATCAATATATGTAAACTTTCGATCCTGCACGTATCCCTAGTAACAAGGAGCACTTGGAATCTCAATTTCTAGAATGAGAATTTACGAGACAGCAGGAACATGAGCGCTAATCGGAACAGAATTCGACAATTCCTGTCCGATGACGAATCCTACAGCTCTGGAGATAAGGCTCAGGTATCACAGAATTCAATGCTCAGGAGGGTTGTAGCTGACAGCCTCCTGTCGAATGAGCAACGCGGCTTTGGGCGGCTCGCCGTGCCTCGCGAGGCAGGCCCTGAACCAAAGTGCAAAACTGCTTTTGGAAGACCCGCGATCCTTCACGGCCCAGGCCGTATGATAAGACCAAGTTGGGAATGCCGACTGTTGCCTGGCTAAAGATGCAATTCTCGAAGGATTCAGGGGATCCTTCAATGTGATAACGAGTCTTGCCGCCGTGACTTGGTCCCGAAGTTTCCGAAATCCGTCATTTCACCTCTTCCTCGTGGTGTTGTGCCAGAATGGCAGGATTCATGATCCCAATGGGTTGACGGATCTATGACTTGCGTCTACACCATCTCGATATGGCGTCTGTGAAGCCTTCGCCAAGCTGTCTGCGGCTCGGCTAGCTAGACGCTGCAGCCAAGCGGCACGGCACAGCTCACCATATAGAAGTGGTAAGCTTTTCGGCGCGAAGATCCGTGAGATGCTTGGCTGGCCCCCATGGGGATGCGTCGATTTAGCCAGAATACCCCGCGCCACCAATCTTACATCCCAATTACCCACAAGGCGTCTCGGGCCGACTTGCATACACCTCCTACAGTCTTGGGTTAGAGGTCGGAACCAAGGGAAACACAGCCGTTGTGTTTGTCTCACCTGTCATCCAATCGTTTATCAAACAAAGTAAAGTGTTCACCAACAATGGGGTTGGGCCAAGAAATGTGTTGGCCAAGTTACCAATCCACCGGTATCGCCAGTCCCCTTTCGCAAGTCCTTGAGCCCTTCACTTGTCGATAGCTTTAAATATGTCAAGTCAAGGGTTCCTCCACTTTCTCTCTAGGTTGAAGCAACCTATCCTCGCCAAGGTTCCCCAAGATCTGTCATCTCGACGAAGCTCGGTTCACAATGTCGGCCCCCGAAGGCTACATTCCAGGATTCGTCTGCACTCTGGACACATGCTCCGTCGAACAATGGGGCTTCGTCCGCTACCGACCGAGTGTGGCCGGAAATGTCCTCTTCCTGGTGATTATGGCCGTGCTCGCATGCGGTCAGATCTTTCTCGGCATAAAGCACAAGACAAAGGGCTTCATGATAGCTATTTGCCTTGGCTTGTTGACGGAGACCGTTGGATACATCGCCCGGGTTCTCTTGAATGGGAATCCCTTCAGCAGAGACTACTTTTTGTGGTACCTCATTACTCTGACTATCGGTCCCGTCTTCATCGCGGCAGCCATCTATCTGACTCTGGGGCGCATCGTCGTGGTCAACGGGGAGGCTATTAGTCGAATCAAGCCTCGTTCGTACACAACGTTCTTCTTGGGATGCGATATCGTCAGCCTTGTTGTCCAGGCCGTCGGTGGAGGCATTGCTGCGTCTACGCCTTTGGATAATCCACACATGGCACGTAATCACTCTTTACCCGCCTATATCACGACGACATTGCCGCAACTGTTCCTGAAATCTGCCGCTAACAATTTGGTGTCTCCAGATCGATGTGGGAACAAACATTCTGGTCGCTGGCCTGTCGATTCAGGTTGCTTGCCTGTTCGCATTCACTGCCTGCAGTCTTGAGTTCCTCTGGCGCGTAAAGAAGAACCCAGAGATGCGTAATCCCAAGTTTACCGATCTGGTCAACAGCAAAAAATACAAATTATTCTTGTTCGGTATGTTCTCTGGCCATTTCCAATATCGACCGGGTCTATGAAGCTAAAACCTTGAAGCACTCTTCGGTGCGACAGCATTTTTGTTTATACGAACTGTCTTCCGTTCCGTAGAGCTCAGCGAGGGTTTTGGTGGAAAGCTTGCCAACCAAGAGGTTGAGTTCATGATTCTTGATGGAACCATGATTATTCTAGCATGTTTATGCTTGACCATTTTCCATCCAGGGTTTGGGTTCGGAAAAAGATGGAACGAGGCTAAATTCCGCTTCCGTACCTCGAAGACAAAGATCAATGCGGAGGAAACTCCACAAACCATCACTCCTGGCGGCAGCGAAAAGGTCGCGCCGGAGACGTCTGCAGAGAGGCTGTGAACCTATGGTTTGGGAAATTGCAACCGCTTTCAAGTTGCAGAGGGTTAACGAGATCGAGATTGAGGTTCAAACTTTCTATACGGAGGAGACAGATACTTTTCGGAATACACAGACAAACGGACAGGTACGGGGACTGGTCACAAGCCCGTTGGCCTTTGTCATAAAGCCTCAGTTCTTCTCTAAGTCACGATTGCTTCGAGCTAGTTGTGCCAGATCCTCATCTGGGTGTCTCGCTTAAGATCATCAGATCAATTTCTTGTAGTCGACTGGAAACAACGTGAAGCTTTGCCTTTGTGACAGCCCATGATCCCTTCACTCAAATATTTCTTTCTATCCTGTTTACTTACTAATGCGATGTGATACAAGACGGTTGTCATTTCACAGACCTCTCAACTAATTATTACGTGAACTCGTGAAATGTTCGAAGTTGCAGGGAATAGTATCAATTTCAAGTTTCTAGTCCCACGACTCTACTTCAACAGTACATGGACGGGCTTGCCTTCGGAGGCACACTTGTAAATAGCCGATACAACACCAAAATTGAATTCGAGCCTGCTCTTGGACAGAGCAACGCTATCACGTCCCTCGAGCAAGTCAACGAAGGAGAGCAAAGGACGTTGGTTCGCGTCCTCCCACCCAAAGGCAGGAAACTTTTCCTCCCTGGCGCTGACTTTGCCGTTTTCGTCGACATAGTGCACCAGTCTGAAGCCTTGCTCCAACTCGTTGACTCCGTCCTTGTAGTCAAAGGTCGGGACCCATTCCCATGTCAGACCACCAGATGTGCCATCGATATTCAGGGCGACTTGAGCGTCCCCATGAAAACCGCTGGCTCGCTCCCAGTAGAATGGAATGACGACACTGTCCTCAAGAGTCAAAGTCAAGGACGCGCCGGCGTGTGTCTCTACAGAGATCGCTGTCCCAGATGGGTCAGCTTCAGTAGTTGGCGTGGCTAACCAGGCATGATTAACCGTGGCAGCAACAGGACGGAGGACGTCGAAGAACATGGTGACATCGTAGACGCCCCAGTCGAATATGATGCCCCCGCCAGACTTCTCTTTTTCCAGAAACCATCTGCTCGACGGTTGGTACTCGATTCCCGCGCGAGCTCTGGGATGGCGGTTAATGAACCGGGCGTGATAGATGGAGCCTATCCCTCCCGTCTCGATCAAATGACGCGCGCGGTCTAAGGCTTTGTTTCCGAGATACCGAAAGCTGCACTCTCCAAAGACTCGATTGGCCTCATCACTGGCGGCTAACATCTCGGCCATCTCCTTCTCGGATGTTGCCAGCGGCTTTTCGCAGAGAACGTGGCGGCCGGATCGGAACGCGCGTAGTGTTGCTGTGTGATGCAAGAATGGGGGCACAGCTACCACGACTATGTCACGCTCTTGTCCCGGGGAACTGGCAAGCATTTTCTCGGCATCTTCGTAGATAGTAGCGTCGGGAAACTTGACGAGCAATGCTTGTCGAGCATTTTCGGAGGGGTCTGCAGCAAAAAGCTGGACATCACCGCCTAGGCTTTTCGCCGCGACGCCATGTCGCCAGGCAATAGAGCCAGCGCCGTAGAGGTAAACTCGCCAGACTTGAGGCATTTCGTTGAATCCAGACATCTTGAGAACGTTTGCTTGACAAAGAAGAGATTGTTCGTTGACACTGACGTGAATTGCTTGGAGAAGGGGCATTCTTCACCAGGCTATCTAACATGATGGCCGTAGTCGGTAGCGGAAAAGGAAAGTCGGAGTATCATGCAAGCCCCGCCAATCCTTCTGGCTGTATCTTCAGGGTCCCTAGAGGCTGATGGCCTCGACTTTACCCTTCGCGATCCTTCTCGATCCTTCCCGTTTTCCGTTCGAGATGCCTCAGGACTCAGGGGCCGGAGACGACGGGCCGTCTACTTGAAGATGGTGGCATGCCCCTGAGTCGTAGGATTTGACCGGATATGGAGGTTCTGCATATTTTAAGGGTGTGTAGCTGATGTAAGATGCAACACTTGCCGTTCCGGTAGAAGTGCAAAAAGACTCCATGTAAGGTACCACGAAGCTGTACGCGCCGCCACAATGCAGTTTTCAACGCGCGTACGATGAAAGGATCTTTGGTCTAGCACACTGCGTTGACTTTCTGTTCGGGATATGAATGCGATTGCATCAGACGGACCGCTTGTCCGGGGCCTGAAGTAGAACTATCTTACTCAGATCCTTCGGATAATAGCAGCCGCGCCACGCAATCCTTCGAGAACTTGGAGCGATGCTCCAGGTCCGCGACAGCCCATAGGAGAGTTAGACCTCGACATAGCTCTAGTAGCAACGAGGATACGCTTGTGTTTGAACAGGTGCTTATATGACGTTAGAGAATGCATATATCAATGATTTGCTCTGTGATGGGACGACCAAAAGCAGCTCAGCTTCAACCTGCCTGCCTGAAGTACATCCTTGAGCCTAATATTTCCATCACTCCTCAATATGGTCGGAGTCACAAATGGCAACAAACCTGGCAAGGTTCTCAAAGTCGGGGTTATCGGTCTGGGAGAGCTCGCGCAGGTTTGTCTTACTTCCGAACTCACACTTGCACAGAATCTGACAATTCCCAAACATAGGTGTCTCACATTCTTGTGCTAAACAGTCTGTCCGCTCACTTTGAGATCACTTACATCTGCGATTCTTCTCAGCAAGCCCTTGATCTCTGCACGAAAAAGGTCGCTGGCGGTTCACTCAAGACGACGTTAAATGCTGAAGATCTGATTACCTCTCCTGATACGGACGTCGTGGTCATCTGCAACGTCAACGCATTTCATCCTTCACAAGCGATTCTAGCTCTTCAACACAACAAGTACGTTTTCGTGGAGAAGCCGCTCGCCCTGAATTACCGCGACCTTGATGCCATCATCGCTGCGGAGCAGACATCGGAGGCGAAAATCTTCGTAGGATACCAGAGGCGATATGCCGAGTCTTTTCTCGATGCTGTGAAGGAAGTAGGCGGGATGAAAAAGATTGACTACATTCGGGTCAGAGGTATGCTACTGTTCGACGTGTTGAAAATGTGAAAACAAGCTGACACTGGACAGACATCATTGGGCAAAACAGCTCTTTCGTAGATCAGTCTGGCACATTCCCCAAGAAACACACCGACTATCCGAAGCAAGATACCGCGGAGATGAAGGCTACCGAAGAAGAGATGGTAAAAACAGCGCTCATTGATGAATTTGGAGTTGAGGCAACGACAGAGTCGATGACGATGTACAGGTTGTTCACAGGGTAGGTCACGTCCTTAAGCCAAATCGCCCCAAGTAGCGGTTCCTTCTCACTGACCTCTCATGCCTACCTCACAGACTCGGTGTTCACGACTTCTCTGCTTTGCGCGAGATGGTCGGCATGCCCTCACGAGTCGTGGGTGCCTCCCTTGGCCTGCCAATTTGGAACGTGTTATTCCAATACGAAGGCTTTCCCGTCATGTACGAGTCCGGCATCATCGACGTGCCTAGGTTCGATGCTCACCTCGAGATCTATTCGCGAGAGAAGATTGTGCGCGTCGACTACGATACCCCGTACGTAAAGGGGCTTCCGGTCACCATGACCATCAGGGAGAAAATCGAGACCGCCAAAGGCGATGGTTACCAAGAGACAATGGTTAGGAAGACCTATGAGGATCCCTTTACTCTCGAGTTCTTAGACTTCTATGTTTGTGCGACGAAAAAGACTAGCCCGAAAACATCGGCTGTGGATGCGCGGGAAGATTTGGACTTGATCAAGATGATCATGCAGAATGCCTATTAGCGCATGTACTTCTGAGACTCGAGACATCTGCGAAAACCTTCTATCTATCTACCCACCCAAGATCAAGGTTCATCAAGTGACGAATAATTCCGCGATTCAACTATTTAATACGTACTATTTAAGATGGGTAAGACGTGATTAGCTATCAAATTAATCAGCTTCATCTCCCCAGCAGTGCCTGACGCCGGCAAGGTGACTTCAATTATGATTCTGTGATGAAGCTCGGCTACATGTGCGATCATAGTCACAGTCACAAAATTGCAAGGTTTTTGTCACCGGGGCCGCAGATTCCGGACTTCTCAAGCAATACAAGCGTTCTCCGATATTTCGTAGACGGTGAGACCGCGACCATTCAGAGATTACAGCGCCATTTACGACTCATGGAGACGATGCCGGTTACCCGGTCGCATCGCCGCACCAAGCCCGTCGATCTGGTCTTGACATTTCTCAGATTACTAATCTACAAGACCTGTTAAGTTCTGCTTTCTTTGACCGTTTCTTCCGTGCGGATATCAACCTTATCAACGGATATGCCTTTTGCAATGAAAACAGGCAAGTCTCTCCAGGCATGCTACGGAATAATTACAGAGTAGACATGACAAGGGTAGCTGACCCACTAGCCGTACGCGACGGGGAAAGTAGAATAAATTACGGATGTCCCACAGAGACTATGTGAGATCATGTTCACGGACTCGCCGCTTACGAGTGCCTCGTCTTCCAGCCCCTGTCAAGTCGATGCTCATGACAGCGTTGTCAATTTCGTCCATCCTAGCTTACTCGCCACCTTATGAACCTGTCTTTTCCGAGAACAAGGGAAAACTGCACTAATTACTACTGGTAATTTCGTAGTCCTTACAGCCAATCGTGTTCTTATTGAAACATTAATAATTTGGTCTTTGGGGGGTCTCCAAAAGTACTAGAAGGGTCAGGAAAGCCAGATCAAGTGTCTCTTTCTTGATACTGCTCGGTATAGCTCCAAAATTTTGTCCTCAGTGCTTAGAACGACAAATGGCCTACATGTCAGAGCAATTGTGTCTGATCCTTCTTGTATGATTCATGACTCAGTGCAATCCTGGCAAGAGGATACATCTAAATTGGCTGCGGACAAAGGTGGTAGGCTTGCTGACCGGCATGAGTAATGCAGTTTTATGGCCCGTTGATTACTCAGACTAGGTAGGAGCAGATCGACAGATGCCGCTCTATCTCAAATGTGTACTCCGTATTATGAGAGATTTAGTAAATCCTGGAAATTCCATGTAATTTACCCAGGAAATACATGTACATACGAATTAATTGACAGGTGGTGCGTCTGGACTACTGTCTGCTGTAGCATAGTAAGTCGGCACTGAATTATTTAACAGAAACCAGAGATCTCTTGCAAGCTTCTCCATCCCCATTCTCCATTCTCATTTCTATATTATGAATCTCACTGCCGTCCTTCTCTCTGTCAGCGCCCTGTTCCTGGGCTCGGCTAATGCGTGGTGGTGCACCGACTATGGCAAACAGGCTAATCACTTGAGCTGCAAGGCCCTTTACCCGGTATGGTAGAACCGGACATCGCTGGATCCTTTGTGTAGGCTTCGACTCATCTTTGATTGTCTGCTTAGGAACGCAATACCTTTTGCTGCAGCGCAGCAGAAGGAGGAGACCGGCACACTTGGAGAGGAGACTGCATGTTAGCGGATGATACCCCCTGCGGTGACGGTGGTTTTGAGGGTTGCGTAAGTGATTTGTAAATTGCGAAAAACGAAGAATATGAATGCTGACATCTTTTTCCAGTGTTTGTAGAGAATCGGTCTTGGTAAATTTTCGGGAATATCTTGGCCGTATTGTCTATAATTTTGGATAGCTTGGGATACCTTGATCGTCATCCATTGAGAAACCATATGTGCAGCGAACACCTACCAGTTTAGACTTATACTATCACGGATTAAGATATAGCTTCCTTTGATAATTCATCAGGCTTAGCTTTAGAAAAATGTGATCTATACGCAAGGCCTTGCATGGGTGTAGTCTTGGAGACGAACGGGTCTTCAGCGGTACGTCATCGGCATTTCCGTTTTAGGCCAGTCCGATCACCTCATGCCCGGTAGCCCCACCGTCCAATGTGTTGCCAACCGCCGCCACGCAAACCCAAGCCCGTCGGGTCTTCATCTTCACGTCGACAGGATGCTCAAGCTCAAGTTCGTCAACACCACGAACGTTCCTGTTCAGAAGCGTAAAATTGCGTTGCATGCGTGTGATACCTGTCGGAGACGAAAAGTGAGTCAAGCATTCTGCTCCTCCCCTTGCAGGCGAAGTCGGAAGAGAGACTTGAACCTTGCCGGGTGCTGTTCGGGATGCTGCACTGGTGACCAATCGGAGTGCGGACTCGCCGCGATACCTTCCCTTTCTGGTTGAAGAACAGAGAGTTGACGGATCTACAGAAGCGATGTGTTCATCCGCTAGGGGAAGGGGAGTCTCCGCCTCCGCACACTGTTCACTGGAGGAAACGGGGCCATCCACCGGGGCCGGCCGCTTCCGCCGAGAACGATTCTCTGGATGATGCGACCGCAACGCCGATAGATCCGTCTCTGCGGTACAGCCCGAGTACAGATGAGGCTGGGGTATCGGGTCCGGGTGACGAGGCCGTCGACGGCGTTGATGAAGACGATGCCAACGACGACAACCAAACAGCTGACTCAATTCATGTTGCAAACTCGGAGCCTTCTACCCTGAGTTCAACGCTTCCAGTTGATCAGCCTCGAAGTCGTTTTGTCAATGCAGAACCTCAGAGAGTAATTACACGACCAAACAATATCAACACGGGACCTCCCATTCAAGGCCAAGTACCTTCAGTCGGGACACTGGTAGTTCCCACTGAGAGCCCAGCAATTCGAGCTACAGATTCAACAACTCACATCTCGAGTCCTGAAACCAAGGTCCAGCCAACAGATTCCGACTCCAACCATAATGACGACAGATTTGTAGGTGATTTGAATCCGGAGGGCGCGTTTCTAGCCGATAGCCCCGCAACAAGTCGCGGTCATGCCGAGTCCAACGCCGTGGGCGTCTGGTATTCTCGCAGAAACAACGGCGATAGCCTCACTCCAGAACTTGCATCGGCAGTATCGGTAGACTATGAGGTACACCAGTTCCTCGCCGTATTACCGAAAAAGGAGAGTTACGACCACCTTGAGAAGATCTACATTCGAGATGTTCACCGTATCCTTCCCGCCATGAATCTCGACATACTCCGAGCGTCAACATCAACGATATCCCAAGTTCTCTGCAAACAAGCCATATGCCTAGCTGCCGGCTCGAATCCGAGCGCCAGGCCTTACCTGACACTCGGACAAGACTCATCGGCAGTCTTAAGCTATTCAGAATTCGCCCTCCGTCTTTCCTCGGCCATCCGGAAAGCACTCGGCCTCGGCCTAGTCAAGGACCGAGTCCAAGCCGTGGCCATCATGGTGATTCTCTCCCTGTACACCCACTTCTCGCAAGACCGCCATCTGTCTGCCGAGCTGGCGGCACAGGCCGTCAGCAATGCCCAGACAGTGGGACTTCACCTCCAAAATCCGCCGGCGAGGTCCGAGGATCCGGCGTACTTGACGCGGCTATTCTGTTGTGTCTGGGCCATGGATCAGCTCAACGCAGCTTTCCACGGACGACCGGTGATGATACACGAAAGAGACCTAGGGCGTGACATGGAGGAGTGTCTTCGAGAGCAAGACAGCTGCTTCCGACTCTTCCTCGAAATTGTGGTCTTGCTCGGATGTATCATCGACCTATATCGGCCGGCAGTAAAGAATACGGGCTGCGTTGTCATGGAGGATTTTCCAAGCTTTGATAGCCTCGTCGAAAAGGCACACGCTCTGGGCGTGGAATCCCGCCTCTTAGGTAAGCTTGGTTCAAGTACAAGGTATATATAGCTGAAGCTGATTGTCTCACAGCTTCCATGGAACTTCTCTATCACGGTATCGGCATATTATCATGTCGGATACCTGTTGGTTCAACAAGATCTGAGCACTTATCACTAGCGCTCAATCGACAGGCTCTCTCCGCTATCAAGATTACAACCATTATTGAGGACTACGGTAATTCATTATCGCATATCACTTTCGTGCCATACGCCGTATCTCTATCCCTGCGGGTCGCATATCGAGAACTACGATCATCCAAGGTGCCAATGTTAACGGCAAGATCCCGGCGTCAGCTCCAGTCAACTTGCAAGACGCTCCGTGGAATGAGCAGCATGTTCAGGTCTGCGCAGGTCATGGTTGACCTAGCCGAACAAGTGATTCAGGAGATAGATCAAGTCTGCACCAACGCCTTGAATGAGCAGAACGCGGTTGGTTCAACAAATGCGCCGAATACCCCTCGGCAGGACCAAGCAGCACCACATGTCGCACCCACCGTGGGCTGCAGCAATGTTGATGACGGAAACCACCCGCCAAACAGTGAGCTGATGCCGGTCTTTGACCCTTCACTCTTTGAGGGGCCTGCAGGTTTCGATGTTTTCGAGTTCTTCGACCCCGGCGATCTCAATGCGATCGATGCCATCTTGGGAGGGGATGCTCCACCAGGAATTGGGCCGATGGGTTCATTCATTTGATCTGTTTTCAGTTCGAATCGGAATGTCAAAAATCACCGAGCCTGCTGGAGGCTACATGTATCAAGGAGTTGTTTGCCCCAAACGACTTTACTGCGTGATGGACTAGACAAGCATCTACGGCGATTATACCCTTTTTGGACGTGGAATCTTGCCTTCAAATATTTACCGTAACGCACAAACGCATCCCTATGTACGCATATCGTACATTCGCGACCTCTTTCCTCTTCTCGGACTTTTCACTCAGTCGTCTGTCATTCAAAGTTGACTCCCTCCAACTACATATCCGGCAAGCAATTCGGAGATGTAACTCCGAAGTCTCAAAGGAAACCCCCCTAAAGTAGGATCACTCAGCCGCAAATCAAGAAGTTCAACTTACCCGTGATCTAGCAATTTCCAACATTTGGCTAATGTGGTTCCAAAGCCAGTACCAAAATCCGCAACGCCTGAGTTGCATTTGGATAAATGGCACTTGCAGCTCCTGCCCGTTTCGCATCGATTCTTTTTCCATTGCAATCACCTTACCAAGGTTATCTTCTCTCATCAACCGCCATGTGCCTGCCATGCATGCATTCAAGATATACTCTAGGTTCTTCAACTATCTCGTGAGCCGGAGGCAGATCTTCCAGTCCTGTTACGCCACATCTTCCCTATGGCAACATAACATTTCACTTATAAAATCCCACTTTCTCTTCTTTGCTGCTCCTAGCAGACTCCTTGCCGTAGTGATATGATGAATTCTACCTGAGCAACGTTACCAGTACCATCATGCTGGCCTACACCATGATTCTGCTCGCCTTCGTAGCCTTGAGCCACGCCGCGCCTCAATTCACGATTGGAGATGGCTCTACAATTCTCGTTCCTGGTGGAGGTACCGCCTCAGCTAACCCAGTTGGCCCCATCCTACTTCCTCCTATTAACAGCCCAGAAGTCAGGCCTGGTAAGCGTGATGTAAGAAAACTCCCCTTCTTCTTATCTGCTCTTGATCCTGTCCAAGTCGAGATATCCCTGATGCCAGTTTAAAGTTCCCTGACTTTCCACACAGCTGGGCGAGCCTAACCTCCAGCGCAAGTCGTCTTCATCTGGTACGTACCGCGACCACGATCGTTTCCAGTTTGGTGCCAGGTTAACAACACGAGAAAGATCTAGACTTTCCTCTGGCTGAGCGCACGGAAGATCTCAACGCACTCAAAGAAACATACCTCACTCTCCTCGAGCCCGTCACCCAGGGGACTAAACCCTCTTTTGGAACTTACATGGTCCTCCTACACCTGGCCGACATTCTCGCGAGCAAAGGAGTTAAGGTAGACACCACCACCTTGGGCGACGCCACCACCATCTTCAGTCCATCCACGAACACGAAGCGTCAAATCTTTGAAATTGGCTCTTGCAAACCGTCCGATGTCATTGGCCTTCGCGCAACGCTCACGAGTCTCCTTCTCATCTACGGCAATACCCCGCCCTTTGAGATCTGGAATCTCGAGCAGGCCATCATCGCGGCGCTCAAAGCTTGTAACGAGGATGTCATTGTCGGTCCCATCATCCCAGATAAACCCGTCCCTGGCGGTCCCCTCGTTCCGGACAAGCCGGTCCCGGGCGGGCCTATTGTCACTCAGTCCGCGGTGCCTGGGGGTCCGATCAAGCCAAGTGATTAGGCGACAGCCTCGTCAAGGGCATGAGGCCAGAGTTTTGAGCAGACGAGATGGAAGATAAGGTTGTGTGTTGGCCGCGCACGGTGGACGCAACGCAACTGTACCTAAAAGTCCGGATCCGAGAAAAAGTTGTTCATAGGGAAGTAAAGAAACACGTTGGAGGGTTATGAAGAAGCCTTTCCGCCGACGTTGCTGTATGCTTGTCAAGGTGCGAATGATTAACTTTGCCATGTTATTTCATTCAGAAATGCCTTTTCTTCTCCTTTCCAAGAAATGCTTGATTGACTTAAGCTCATGGTTCTGAAATCATCATGAGAATGGTTTCATGTTTGCTGAAAGATGGCATCAATGCGGCCAGCCCTACGAAAGTCGAGAACCCGACATCGCAACCCCCATTTTGGTCTCTTCTGACATTTCCGAAGTCCGCGACGAGAGATCGAACGAGGAGGTTGTATGTAAAAGAACGACATGACAAGCCTTTTTTAGCCATCCAGTTTCCTTCGTCCAGACGTTGAGTTCATCCTCATCTCAAAGCAAATAAGAAATCAATGAGACGGGTAAGAGATTCATCTCATGGTCGCCGGAAGGAGTTGCACACGAGTATCAGTTATGGTTCCCGTGCGTCGCAGAAACACCGAAGCTCCCGACAAACCTCACGAACAAGGCCGGCCCATCTACAGGACAAATATGTCATTATGCCTGAAAGACATCCCACGACGAGATGTTTCGACCCAACCTATTTCCCATATATCCTCGCGACTCTAAAGACGTCCATCCTTGATCTCGCCAGGTCTTGCTACCGGACCCTGTTCTAGAAGAAGCGCATGATAACTCAAAAAGACCCCCAGGCAAGCTGTCAATGTCTCAACACCACGGAAGCTATCTCAAGTGTGGGAAGAGAAAACTCAACCTTATCTCGCGGAGTCCCCATTTCCTGTCCTTCTCTCCCAAGATTCTCCTATTTCGGACTTGTGGACTGAAGTCTCCGAAAACTCATCACGAGGACAGCCAGCCCTGCCCATCGTCCGAGGTCGTCCATGTATGATGACCTCAAAGTCAAAGGAAGATTTTACAGAGAACGGGAATCCCTATCCTCGACGGTCACGTTTCACACGAAACTCCCGGCCGAACGCCGGCCATCGTGCCGAACGAGCACGGAGCAAGGCCGTAGGCCGCAAGCCTTTTGACATCGGTATGGAAAGCCCTGCATCCCACTAAAAAGCTTACCCGTCTCCGTCCGGCCGTAAATCCTGGATCGTGGTGGAGTTGACGGACGCGGGAGGAGGTTAAGGTAAGCCACCACCACCACCATAGCCAATTCTTCCTTCTCGGATTTCCGAAAACGATGTCTTCGTCTGCCATCTTCCCTACCTACACCCAAACCAGAAAGTCAAACTTTCAGAGTGCGCTTGCTGCCACGCTGACAAAGACGCCCGCAGGCTGGGGTTCCATCATCCATGTGTAGCCTTTTTTTTCCGGCGCCGCAAACGGATGAAGCGGGTGAAGCAGGATACTATGCCACGAGACTTGTTGCGACGCTTCTCAACGCCGTCTCTGGCTCCGCCGCGATCAGGGACATGGAAAGATCTCACGAACCGGCGCCGGGGGCGAACGAGTCATTTTTCGCCAAACAAAACGATACCATCGCCGAACCATCGTGGCCCCATCACCATCGTTTCCTCTCTCCCCGCAAACTCTCGGGCCCATGACATGTTCTCTCACCCTAGACGCCGCTAATGTTACCATCACGCGTTTCTCACGCCGCGGGAAAGCCAAGACACAGCGGGTGCGAACGCCCATCAAGGGATTATGGGCCAAAGGGGGAAAGCAACAATAACATACAATCGACATGCCTTTCACAACAAAGTGTAAACTTTCCCACACCTGTCGTTGCTTGGGCTTATTGCTTGCGCTCAAAACCATGCCAAGCCAAACTCCATCACCCTCCCAAATCTACAAACACGCGACTTCGGCGCCTTCCGCGACGAACGCGTGCTTGCAAGAAAGCAAAAGCATCTGCCACCATCTACAACTCAATCCATCTCATGATCCCATCTCACCACCTCTCACTCCCGGCAAAGAAGAGACAGAGTTTGGATACCTTCACTCCGTGTCACACCAACAGTCGGATATGACCACGCCGTGACGGCGTGGTCCTAGCGAAGAGCAAAGGGTGCACCATGACTCGTCTCGTCATGGTGGCCCAAACTCTTCTCTTCGACGCGCGCACGGGAAAGAGGGACCCTGCCACTCAATACATTTGTGCCAGAGTTCGCCTCGACCACGATGGTTTCTGAAAGTCAATCACGGCCCTTGATGGCAGATGACGACCTGTCGTCAACACCACAAGACGCCGTGCGCGTAAGGATTCCGCTGTTTATCAACGGTCTGGTTCTCGGCCATAGTTGTGGAAATACCGCTGCTTGATGACTCAAATGAGGCTCTCAGACTCGTGGCCTCTGCGGCGTCTGGCGTAATGGTATAGAGATTTGTATTCGTAAATCCCTCCTGTTCCCGGTCCGTGCCAACGCCGCCTATCATTTACAGACCGTACGACATATTGGCAGGGCATAGGGGTCTTCTCAAGCCACATCCAAGCGGATGGGAACGAAAATCGTCATCCTCTCCATAGTTCATGAGACTGGCGACGCAGATCAAGGTCTATCCAAGTCCATCCCAAGCTTTGCCCTTCCCCTTGCGTGAAAAGTGTGTGTAAGAGCACTGCTCACATCGTGGCTCCAGACACTTGCTCCAGCCAACTGTCGCATCATGTTGAGATGGTGTGCCAGAAACGACTTGTCCGCCTCGCAAAATCACCAGACGGCACTTACAAAACAAACTCGTGGTCGATCTTAAGCAATCGCGCTGCCTACTATAGTCCCCTCTCTAATAGCTCAACGGCACATACGAGAGCCAATATGCTACCACCCATACCACCTTTCGCAAGCATCGGAATCCCTTCCAAGCTCCCTCTCCCCGTTGTTTTCTCCGTGCATTGCCCCGTGCTCCTAATAGTGAACCCCCGTCCCCGAACCCATCTTGATGACGCCCGATGCCAAAGCACCTTCATTTCTTGGCGCCGCCGCCAGTGACACACACACGGAACCGAAGCTAGCGTCCGCCCCGCCCGTAGCAAGCGATTCTCTGTCTCGTGTGTCTATGAGCAGGGGGCCCAGACCTCTATGGCCTTTACACCTTTGGCGACTGGTGTGTAAGCCAGTACATTCGTGTGTGACCGCAAACGGCTTTGCCTGAGCCACATCATCAATACCATCGCTAACTTTCCCAGCCATTTGGATGTGGCTCCGCCTCTCCGGCCGCATGGAGTGGATACCGCGGAGTGGAGAAGCTCCTTCGACGCCGTCTCTTGATTCGGGGGGCCCGCTCACAAAGCCGCCCGCGAGCCGGCGCGGAAGCGCTTAGATCATTTGACGCCCGCTAGATAGAAACCAACCGCTCCCGGTCCCTTTTCCCAACACACTCAAGGTGCCAGAGGGCGTCGTCGTGCCCCCACCCCCAAGAGCCAACAGACGACCGTGCCAGTCAGCCTAGTCTAGTGCGATGGGCAGGGCTTGGTAAACACTAAGGAAGCAAGAGGCGGCACCGTGCGCCGTTCTTCGCTTAGTGGTGTCGAACCGGTCATAAGTTGGAAACAGAGAGAAAGAGGGGACCCTGTCGGGTTATTTTCCTTCGGTGATGGGGCCTTTCCCGTGATCCACGATTCGTCTTAGCTTGGAGCACGGATACGAGACTATTGACAATGGCAAGCGACGTGGACAGCGGGCGGGCCGGGGGGGTGGGTGTCCTTCATGATGAGGCTATGTTTAAAGTGGTTAGATGCTTACCAACACGGGCCCTTCGTTACCAATATGCCGTCTTCAGCGAAATATCGGTAAAGGTGGCACGGGTGGGTAGCGGTGGGAGGGGAGTTTGTGGCAGATGAAGAACTGCCGTGCTCCCCAATATCAAAAAACTATCAAACGTGTGTAGCTCTGTGGTTAAGCCACCGCCCCGTCCACATCTACGGATACGACTTGAGGCTTTCTCGCCCCAGCCACGCACGCCCACGACAGTATGATCGTCAAGGCGGTCTTTTCAGCTTCCTATTCCCGGCCGGCTTCAACTTTTGGTCAATGCCATACTCTTGGGATGCCAATCTTTGTGGCTTTCCATTGGTCAGACCTTTGGGGGGTTGCTGCGGGAATGGCTGACACCGGGCTCGGAGGCGGCTCGGGTTCTTGACCTCATGGCGCTGCAGCCTGTTGGAAAACATCAGACGGCGGCTGTCAGAGGGGCTGTGCATAGGGTTCAGAAACGCTCGAGGGTTAGGTAGACGCAGAGAAGGTCGTCAGGTACGGGCATGGTGAGGCAGTCGACGTTCGAACGCTGGAGCTGGGGCTGGATATCCCCATTTCGTGACGGCGTACCTACGTGCCTACTTACAAGCGTATGTAGTTTGACCCTCATATCTTGGAGCGTCTGGTGAACGAGGCTGGCGGACAGATTGCGCTATCTTGGGATGGCACTTCTCTCTGCCAACTCCCAGAGTGAGGCCATCATCTCCCACCGGCTCGTTTGCAGCTCTGTGGTGCACGTTGATCACTCGGCAATCTTGGAACCGTTCAGACCTCGCGTGCTCATGGATCGCAGATCTCGAACTCTACGCCCTAGAGTGAGACATGGCAATACAATGACACGATGAGGCACGGAAAAGCGCTACTGACGAACGATGGAGTCTGTATCCGTATATTGATGAATTTCTCGTACCGCAATTGAGTTTGGCCGACGCCGTCAATAGCTTGCGGTGAGTGTGGCACCTTGAACGTGGCTCCATATTCCCCCATCCAACGTCCATGACCTGAACTTTCAAAATCTCGATGTTGGACGGAACGGGCAAAGTGTTTCTCGTTCGCAGACATACTACTAGTCTCACTTGGAGAAACCGCGTGCTGATGTCTCTCAATGTGTATCTCTCAAAGACTTTCTGTCTTTCTCTGCCTGCCACGCCGAAGATCTTTGCCCAAAACAGGGCCCGTCGTCCAGTCCTGGGAAAGGCAAAAAGCGTAAGCCCGCAACACCGGACGCAGAAGCCGGAAGGGATGGGCGGGACTAAACGTCGTTACCTCTCTAGACTTTTAAGCGCCGCTGTTGCCTTTGGGGATCGGGGCGGCCATGTGTAATCGGGGCTTTCTGTCAGTTGAATAGTTCCCCCTTCGAGCTAAGACGGCAGAGTCGCTGGTTGGGTGAGCGATTCGGGGTCATGATTGGACGGCAAGTCCACGAACTAAAGAACTGCGGAACGAAAACGACGCAATGGGCGATGCGGTCAGTGTCCAGATGGGAAAGGTGAGTGAGAGTTGCGAGTCGAGGACATTGTTCTCTTAGCCTAGAGTGACAATCGATGCACCAAAGATAGTATCCAGACTTGAAGCGATCCACCACACCTTGATATCTTGACAAGCGTCTTCCAGGTTTAGTATTCGCCACTTGGAGTAGAAGAGAGGTTCAGTCAATGCCAAGTTGATCGTTTTTCTCGGTAGCGACGGCACTTTTCTAAGTGTCTGAGTCGTTCGTGTCGTTTTCAACCCCTCTCGCTCCCACCCTTTGCCCCTCTCCCTTCGACAAAGTCTCCGGCCGTGAACCGCCGGTCCCGTCCGTGCGAAGCGACTCTTTACGGCGGGCCCCCGGAGCCGTGACGTTGGGAATTATCAACGAAGCTGTTGCCACCGGGCTTTGGGAAGGGAGACCTTAGCGGTGTCCGATAGGTTTTGAAGATCTCTCGGCGGTAAGGGGGAACAACATCTACGCGGCGATCTACACAAGATCGCGGCGATCGTGACGTTTGTGCTGTCGTTTACCACGCCCTAGAGACCACAGTGTTCCAGCTGAACACGGACAGTTTGTAAGCGCAGCACTTTCAGACGGACATATCTCAGGTTGTTAATTACAGTCGACGGATCCAGTGTCGATATCGCACCCATGAGTATCATCCGAGACCACATTCTCCAAGACCCTAACTGCCTACTCAGGTAGGTATGTGATGTCTACCTATCCATCTATCGAACGGTAGACGTCGCGACAGGGAACGTGCGCAAACGTGCGAGCTTGTCCCTCCCACGCGAGTCTTCGAGAGATGGAGACACTTGACGTAGTTGATGACTGATGGCTGCTTAAACCACGCACCACAGACTTGCTCGTCCACCACACCGCGGTTTCCAAGACATGATGATTCAAAGTATCTCCCCAAGGCTCACATGCCAAGCTCATTCCCGCCTGGCCACCGGCGAGCCTCCTGATTATAGGCACACTGACACAAGCCCCGCCCCTCAACCCCTCACCGAGAGACAAGACGACGCCGAGAAGCAACAACTGCCGTGCGTCCTTGCTTCCACCATGTCTCTCAGTCTCTGTGCCTCAGTCTCCAAAGATGACGCCTAGTATCACGCATCGAGCATCGTACCAACGGCGCGCGCCCTTGGCAAACAGCCCACAACTCTCCAATGTGTGTGTGTGTGTGTGTGTGTGTGTGTGTGTATCCACCAGTTCGGTTTCTGCAGCCGCAAAGGCGCTCACTCAATGCTCATTGCTTCCATTCTCCGCATCTCGATCTACAGCTATCCATCTCATCCCTTGATCACCTGCGCCCCCCCTCTTCCAGACGTCCAGAGTTTCTCGAGAACGCAATATTGAAGCGCCCCCCACCTGTTAGATGCGCCCTTCTTCCTGCGTCCTTTTGTCCATACTTGGGCAGAAATCCGACAATATCAAACCCGTCATGCGCCATGCGCAGAAGCGGTCTAAGGCCTAAGTGTCATCCGAAGATTATGTGCCAGAGTGGAATAGGACCATGCAAACTGCTGGCCTCTAGTCCCCCTCGGCCGCGCCGCGGGAACGTTTCCGAACCACTTCAACAACTACCGACGCAAGATGGCGGGGGCCTGGAAAAGCGTTCATACCTAGCCCGCCAACCCACTAGACGCAAGTGCAAGGGGGAAGAAAGGAACAAAAAAAAAGACCGCAGAAGCCAGAGGTGGTGCCTCTGTAGACTTGTCATGATCCATATGTTGTTAGTGGCTCCGGCTGTTCGTTGTTCGTTTGTCTCCATCATGATGGAAGCTTGGAACGATGTCTGGCTTATCGCCACCATAAATTGCGGGGAGAGGATGTGACAACGCTCAGCTCAATGCAGGCAAATGTCGAGAACCGGGTTCCTCCCACCCAATCATGTTTGGGAAACACCTCTTCTCTGGCCCTGCTGCATCTATCAAGCCACGCTGTATCCCGAAAGATCTGTCCATCTTGTGGTCGTTTTTCCCACCTTGTCCAACTCGAGCCAGGGCCTAGGCCTTTTCCTCACCGCCCCCTCCGCCCCCCGTCCGCTTGCGGCTTGCAGCCAAAACCCGGCATATCGGTTCCCCATCAACTGACTTGTCAAGTCTGCAAGAAACGACAAAAGGTTGCTAGGGTTTTGCGAAGGACCTCAAAGCAGGAAAACAACCGCTCCTCTACGTTGCCGTGGACCGTGAATCCTAGATGCCTTGAACCAGTTTTGGACATGCCAAATCCGACAGTATGCATCCATCGCATTGAAACACCGGCAACTTGATTGCTTGATATCCAAAGAAAGAACAGGAAAAAAAATACCTCCCCACAACGACGGCTACGATGAACCCAAACGAGCAAACAGAGCAGGGGGCTGTATGAGAGAGCAACTCGCCAACTGTGCCGTTCCAATGATCGACACCGCAGCAGAGCAGAAATATTGCCTCTCCCAAACATCCAAACCCTGCCCGTTTGTTTTTTTTTTTTTTTTTTTTTTTTTTTCCCTCTTTCAACCCCCAAGGTCAAAACGCGGTCAAACTCTGTCACAAGTCAGACGCAAAGCTTGGCCGGAGCTGTCAAAAAGATAGATTAAGAAAAAGGACGATAAGTTGATAACCCACAGTAGGCCGCAATAGAGTTTGTAATCGCCAACCGGGGAAGAGCCCGCAAAGATACCAACCCGCCGACCTATCAAAAAGTGTGGATGGGTGGAAACCGTAGAGACAGAAAGAGAGAACCTAGACTTTGGAGTTGGTTGACAACAAGCCCTGTCCAGAGCCGACCGATGGATGCGAGTTGCTCGCTTATTTGGGTGTTGCCTACGACAATATCAGCAGTTCTCCTCGAAAAAGGGGTGCTGTTGTTCTCCATTAGAGACCGAACATGACAATGCCACACCGCATCAAACTCCACATCCATCCTACACCATCAGTCCCGGGGTTCCGTTGTCGCCATGCGCCGCGGCCGCCGTCGCCGTCTCCGTAGTTCCAAAAACTCCGGTGGATGGTACCACAAACATGCTGCGGCCATGGGATGGTGGGGTCCAGCAATTCGCTCGCAACGCTCCTCAAGGCATCCAATGTCCATGCCACTCATCACCTCATCATAAGCAAAGGTTGAACGACCCGCAGAGTTGAAAGCTGCCAGTACCCGACCAGTCAGAGCCACCCGTGGTCCGCGGCGAGCACTCTGTCCACGGCATATTAGAACTCCTCTAGACATGCATCTGCTTGCTGTAACGGCCTAGTGCAGCACGGGAAGTCAAGTGACTCAAGCCACTCACAGCCCACCGATCGTGGGTTAGGACTCTCGGGCGAAACTGGCAACCAACCCACCAACCCATCAAGAGAGTTTCCAGCCGGCTTTACTCCTGGCCAACTCATCTTTTTTCTCACTGCCTTGTTCAACAAGTGAGCTTGGCCTTAGTTTTCCATCGTCATAATATCCATCACATTAAACACATGGCACGCTAACCCATTCCGGTTACTTCTTCCAAAACATCCCTTTTCTTCCTCTCCCATGATCCCGCTTAGCTATCCCTCTCGCGTGGTTTATTGCGTCTCGTACTTGTCTATGCCTATCCAGGCCCACCCACCTCTTCTCGTCCATCCGACAAGACGCCTCCTTCTGCTGACTGGGCGCGGCGGGAAGCACGGAAGTGTAAGCCAGACGACATGTCATCCCAAAACTCGGTACACTTCCAACTGGAAAAGGGCAGCACTTTGGCCCCATCCTTTCATCTATCAGGCCACACCGAGACATGCTATACTCACTTATAATAGCACATTCGCCTCACAAAAAAAAAAAGTGTCCGTGTAAAGTGCTAAATCGATACACCCAACCAACTCTCGCAACCCAATAACAGCACAAGTGAAGGAATAAAACAGAAACAAAAAAAGGCCGACGGCTCCCACCGAAAGCACACACTTGCATGTCTACCAAGGAAGCTAGCCACCTATACACACACACATACATCTATCCATATCTGCAACCTCTCACACGCTCCTCCAGATCTCTTCTAGTTGGCTCACGCTTCAGTGCTCCCACCCACCCTCATCGCAAACAGGGTGCCTGCATGCATGCCCATCACGATGGGATTCGCTCTCGCGACTTCGCATGCCATGCTGTGCTGTGCCATGCCGTGCCCATGGCCTCCTCCACCCATTCCATCCATCCAGGCCAAGCCGGTTGCTTTCTCCACACACACGCTTCCATGCCCAAACCACACAACGCCCGAGGCATCCCTACCTTACAACCCCATCCTCCGCCGTGCCGCATGCGTAATAAGGTGACAACGGCGCAAACAGCCCCCATGCAAGTCCACCTCACTTTCTCTCAAGTTTCTC